AATTGCCATTGGCCCACTAATATACCGCCTCCTCATGCTAGCTGGCCAGGGGTTCCCAGAGTGTGTCATAGGGTTCCGCTGTTCGGCCTCCCTTGAGTTGCAGTCTCTCATCGCAATCACTCTGCCATGTGCCACTGTTCACCCCCACCTCCCCCCGCCCCCCCCCGCCACCCCGCCACCGCCTATTATTAACCGCCTCCTCTTGCTGCTCGCCAGGTCCAGAGTCTCTCATGGGTCCTGTACGGCCTCCCATTGCTGCTGTCTCCATCGCCATCACTCTGCATGTGACCTCTTTTCTGGTCTCCTTCAGCACCACTGCTGGTGTGTAGGAATTTTTTGACGGTAGTAGGGTGCTGGGCAGATTACGGGCCTCCCTGTATAGCTGCTGCCAGGCCCCTAATCTGCCATAGGCCCCTATATACCGCCTCCTCATGCTGCTGCCAGGTCCAGAGTCTCTCATGGGTCCCTGTACGGCCTCCCATTGCTGCTGTCTCCATCGCCACACTCTGCCATGTGCCACTTTCAGGTCTCCTCACACACTGCTGGTGTGTTGAATTTTTTGACATAGGGTGCTGGCAGATTACGGGCCTCCCATTGCTGCTGCCAGGCCCCTAATCTGCCATAGGCCCCTAATATACCGCTCCTCTTTGCTGCTGCCAGGTCCAGAGTCTCTCATGGGTCCCTGTACGGGCTCCATTGCTGCTGTCTCCATCGCCACACTCTGCCATGTGCCACTTTCAGGTCTCCTCACACTGCTGGTGTGTAGAATTTTTTGACATAGGGTGCTGGCAGATTACGGGCCTCCATTAGCTGCTGCCAGGCCCCTAATCTGCCATAGGCCCCTATATACCGCCTCCTCATGTGCTGCCAGGTCCAGAGTCTCTCATGGGTCCCTGTACGGCCTCCCATTGCTGCTGTCTCCAATCGCCACACTCTGCCATGTGCCACTTTTCAAGGTCTCCTCACACATGCTGGTGTGTAGAATTTTTTGACATAGGGTGCTGGCAGATTACGGGCCTCCCATAGCTGCTGCCAGGCCCCTAATCTGCCATAGGCCCCTATATACCGCCTCCTCATGCTGCTGCCAGGTCCAGAGTCTCTCATGGGTCCCTGTACGGCCTCCATTGCTGCTGTCTCCATCGCCACACTCTGCCATGTGCCACTTTCAGGTCTCCTCACACACTGCTGGTGTGTAGAATTTTTTGACATAGGGTGCTGGCAGATTACGGGCCTCCCATAGCTGCTGCCAGGCCCCTAATCTGCCATAGGCCCCTATATACCGCCTCCTCATGCTGCTGCCAGGTCAGAGTCTCTCATGGGTCCCTGTACGGCCTCCCATTGCTGCTGTCTCCATCGCCACACTCTGCCATGTGCCACTTTCAGGTCTCCTCACACTGCTGGTGTGTAGAATTTTTTGACATAGGGTGCTGGCAGATTACGGGCCTCCCATTGCTGCTGCCAGGCCCCTAATCTGCCATGGGCCCCTATATACCGCCTCCTCATGCTGCTGCCAAGTCCAGAGTCTGTCATGGGTCCTGTACGGCCTCCCATTGCTGCTGTCTCCATAGCCACACTCTGCCATGTGCCACTTTCAGGTCTCCTCACACTGCTGGTGTGTTGAATTTTTTGACATAGGGTGCTGGCAGATTACGGGCCTCCCATTGCTGCTGCCAGGCACGTAATCTGCCATGGGCCCCCGTACCGACTCCTCATGCTGTGACGTTGCAACAAGGTGGAATTCAACCCTACATATGTTAGACCGCCTTTACGAACAGCGAAAGGCCATCACCGATTTCCTGATGTTAAAAGCGGATAAAGGTACTCCCTGTGTAACTTAGATGTCAGCCATTGGCAGCTCATGCGTGACACCTGCGCTTGCTCAGCCCTTTGAGGAGGCCACGCTATTCGTGAGTCGGCAGGACTATGGGGATGAACGACGTCATTCCTCTGTTGCACGTCCTGGAACAAATGCTGTTAACAATGGCTGGTCAGGGTGCGGTAGACGTGGCGCACAGATCTCAACGCCACATGACCCCTGTGGGGGCAGGACAGGAAGAAGAGGAGGAGGTAGAGGAGGACATTGGTGCTCAGGAATTATTGAGTGAAATGGGTGGTTTTTCCACTCAGCGGACAGGAGTGGAGGAGCAGGAGCATCTGGTAGAGGAGGAGGAGGAGGAGACAGACAGGACCCAGACGCACCGTGGCAGTATGCTGTGGAGATGGAGGCAGGGAGTCCCTCGCATTCCTTGGCACAAATGGCCCATAGCATGCTCGGTTGCTTGCGTAGCGACAGCCGAATAATAACCATCAGACAGAGGGATGACTTTTGGCTGTCCACCTTGTTGGACCCTCGCTACCGTTCAAAAATGGTGGCCTTTTTCACACCTGCTGAGAGGGAGGCCAAAATAACGTACTATAAAAACCACCTATGTAGTCAGCTGGTCTCTGCCTGTCTGCGCCAACGTCCATCCTCAGACACTGTGGGCCCTGTGCGCTCGCGCGTTCCGCTGCCATGGCAGCAGGGGAGGGGTGGGGGGGGTGGTAGGAGCAGTGGCAGCTCCACCAGCAGCGGCTGCCTCAGTCTGCAGTCGATGATGAGTAGCTTTCTTCACCAGCGCAGTGAGGAAACTACTACTAACCAGCAGCAGCAGCAGCAGCAGCAGCAGCAGCATCAGGTGGACCTGGAGCAGGACCTCAAACAACAGGCTTAGGCCTACTTGGACAGCACCCTGCCAACCGAGGTAGACAATCCCCTTGACTACTGGGCAACGAAACTTGACCTTTGGCCCCAACTAGCTGAATTTGCCCTTGAAAGGCTGTCATGCCCGGCCAGTAGCGTGGCATCGGAGCGCGTGTTTAGTGCGGCAGGAGGTATTGCAACTCCGCGGAGGACACGACTGTCCACCCAAAGTGTGGAGAGACTGACGTTTGTGAAAATGAATCAGGCGTGGATTAGTCTGGATTTCAAACCACCAGTTCCTGACACAACTGACTAAATCCGCCATGAATCATGCCCCAAACATGTGCCACTTTCAGGTCTCTCACACACACTGCTGGTGTGTTCCATTTTTTTCATAGGGTGCTGGCAGATTACGGGCCTCCCATAGCTGCTGCCAGGCCCCTAATCTGCCATGGGCCCCTATATACCGCCTCCTCATGCTGCTGCCAAGTCCAGAGTCTCTCATGGGTCCCTGTACGGCCTCCCATTGCTGCTGTCTCCATCGCCACACTCTGCCATGTGCCACTTTCAGGTCCTCCTCACACTGCTGGTGTGTCCATTTTTTTGTCATAGGGTGCTGGCAGATTACGGGCCTCCCATAGCTGCTGCCAGGCCCCTAATCTGCCATGGGCCCTATATACCGCCTCCTCATGCTGCTGCCAGGTCCAGAGTCTCTCATGGGTCCCTGTACGGCCTCCCATTGCTGCTGTCTCCATCGCCACACTCTCTGCCATGTGCCACTTTCAGGTCTCCTCACACTGCTGGTGGGTTCCATTTTTTTGTCATAGGGTGCTGGCAGATTACGGGCCTCCCATAGCTGCTGCCAGGCCCCTAATCTGCCATGGGCCCCCGTACCGACTCCTCATGCTGCTGCCAGGCCCGTAATCTGTCATGGGCCCCTGTTGTCGCTTGTTGGCATATTTCCGCTCGTTCAGATGCTCCTTCTCCTGCTACTCCTCTTCACGGATTCCGTCAGCAGTCTTTCTTGGAATCCGTTTCCAAGAGACAACAGTTTGCGAGCACGCACCAGACGGTGCTGCCAGAAGCTGAACGTCCTCCTGTCCAAGTTGCTGCTGCCAGGCTCGTAATCTGTCATGCGCCCCTGTACCGCCTCCTCATGCTGCTGCCAGGTCCAGTGCCAGTGTGTCATGGGCCCCCGTACATGGGCCCCCGTACCGACTCTCATGCATGCTGCTGCCAGGCCCGTAATCTGTCATGGGCCCCTGTACCGCCTCCCCATGCTGCTGCCAGGTCCAGAGTGTGTCATGGGTCCCTGTACGGCCTCCCATTGCTGCTGCCAGGCCCGTAATCTGCCATGGGCCCCGTACCGACTCCTCATGCTGCTGCCAGGCCCGTAATCTGCCATGGGCCCCTGTACCGCCTCCTCATGCTGCTGCCAGGTCCAGAGTGTGTCATGGGTCCCTGTACGGCCTCCCATTGCTGCTGTCTCTATCGCCACACTCTGCCATGTGCCACTTTCAGGTCTCCTCACACTGCTGGTGGTTTCCATTTTTTTTGTCATAGGGTGCTGTATGGCCTCCCATTGCTGCTGCCTCCACCGCCACACTGTGGCTCCACACTCTGGTTTTGGCCCCGTGACTGCCCAAATGAGTGAAGTGTGCGGTGATTCTAAGATCGACGGCACACTCATCTGCATGTCATACTGACTGACAGTATTATTTCTCTTCCCCAGCAGACTCCAAGGGCATTTAAATTAAAGGTACAGTGTTCAGCACTAATATTAAGTCTCTCTGAAGCCTAGAAACACCCTTTTTTAAGTTAAATTCACAGCGAATATATTCGACTCGAATCGAAATTTTTCACGAATTTAAAAAAAACTTACCTGCACTAATGTGAAGGGTGTTGAAAATGCGGTAGCTGGAGCTGAAGTCTCTGCTCGCAGCGAGGAGGGGAGCGGGAAGAAAACACACTTCACGGCTGGATAGGCCGGCCCTGACGTCCACCGCCCTCTGTCGCTCCCAGCGCGCGCAGTCACGCAGAAATCAGCGGCACTGCTCTCAAGCAGAAGACTGTCTGCCACAGAAGGGAGGCCTGCGATTGCGACAGCCGCATTTACACTGACCAGGGAGAATGTGCCGCAGTCAGGCAGGTGTGCACACTGCCCTCTGCTCTCAAGCAGAAGGGACTGTCTGCCATAGAAGGGAGGGCCGTGGGGTAGCGGCCACATACACAATATCAGGGAGGGCTGTTTGGAGGGCCGTATTACGGGCTTTCAAAATGGTGCTAGGGCGGGCCTTGGCGCGGCTGTTTGGAGTCGGTGCCTGACTAGTACAGGGAGGGGGTAAACCGACCCCCCGGGCATTAAAAATGGTCCCGGGGGACCGGAAAAATCATCCGGACGTATGGGGGGGACTGCCCCCGAGCTGACCAGAGGGGGAATCAGTAGGAGATGACCAGAGGAAGGTGGACAAAAGAGGCTGGAGGTACAGGAGATGACCAGAGACTGCACGGACACACAGGATGGACAGGAGATGACCAGAGACTGCGGACACAGTACAGAGATGACCAGAGACTGCGACTACAGTACCTGAGATGGCCCCGAGACAGTACAAGGAGGATGGAACAAAAGACGCGGACACTGCGGAGACCACATGCGGACACGTACATTTACAGGGAGTAATGACCAGAGACTGCGGACACAGTACAGGATGAACCAGAGACAGGAGACTGCGGACAGGAGTAGTACAGGTACAGGATGACCAGAGACTGCCAAGTGAACACCAGGATACACAGGAGATGACCAGCAGACTGCGGACACAGTACAGGAGTATGACCAGAAGACTGCCAGGGACACAGTACAGGGCGATGACCACTGAGACTGCTGAGACACATTTACAGATTACAGGAGATGATCACCAGAGACTGCGGACACAGTACAAGGAGATGACCAGAGACTGCAGGACACAGTACAGGAGGATGACCAGAGACTGCGGACACACAGCTACCCGAGGATTGTCCATGACCGACAGAGACTGCGACACAGCGTACAGGAGATGACCAGAGACTGAGGTGTACTGCGGACACAGTACAGGAGATGACCAGAGACTGCGGACATCAGTACAGGAGATGACACAGAGACTGCGGACACAGTACAGGAGATTGACCAGAGACTGCGGGACACAGGAGTACAGGAGATGACCATGAGACTTGCGGACATTGAAAGTACAGGAGATGACCAGAGACTGCGGACACAGTACAGGAGATGACCAGAGACTGCGGACACAGTACAGGAGATGACCAGAGACTGCGGACACAGTACAGAGATGACCAGAGACTGCCGGACACAGTACAGGAGATGACCAGAGACTGCGGACACAGTACAGGAGATGACCAGAGACTGCGGACACAGTACAGGAGATGACCAGAGACTGCGGACACAGTACAGGAGATGACCAGAGACTGCGGACACAGTACAGGAGATGACCAGAGACTGCTGACACAGTACAGGGATGACGGAAGGGAGACTGCGGACACAGTACAGGAGATGAGGAGACTGCGGACACAGTACAGGAGATGACCGAGACTGCGGACATGTAGTACAGGAGATGACCAGAGACTGCGGACACAGTACAGGAGATTGACCAGAGACTGCGGACACAGTACAGGAGATGACCAGAGACTGCGGACACACTACAGGAGATGACCAGAGACTGCGGACACAGTACAGGAGATGACCAGAGACTGCGGACATAGTACAGGAGATGACCAGAGACTGTGGACACAGTACACAGATGACCAGAGACTGCGGACAGTACAGGAGATGACCAGAGACTGCGGACATAGTACAGGAGATGACCAGAGACTGTACTGCGGACACAGAGTACATATGCAGAATGATGACCAGAGACTGCGGACATAGTACAGGAGATGACCAGAGACTGCGGACATAGTACAGGAGATGACCAGAGACTGCGGATGTACTACAGGAGATGACCAAGAGACTGCGGACATAGTTACAGGAGATGACCAGAGATTGCAGACATAGTACAGGAGATGACCAGAGACTGTGGATGTACTACAGTTGACCAGAGACTGTGGACATAGTGCAGGAGATAACCAGAGACTGCGGATGTACTACAGAAGATGACCAGAGACTGCAGACACAGTACATGAGATGACCAGAGACTGCGAACATAGTACATGAGATGACCAGAGATTGCAGACATAGTACATGAGATGACCAGAGACTGCGGACATAGTACAGGAGAATGACCAGAGACTGCGGATGTACTACAGAAGATGACCAGAGACTGCGGACATAGTACATGAGATGACCGGTGAGACTGCGGGCATAGTACATGAGATGACCGAGATTGCGGACATAGTACAGGAGATGACCGGAGACTGCGGACACAGTACAGGAGATGACCGGAGACTGCGGACACAGTACAGGAGATGACCGGAGACTGCGGACACAGTACAGACAGGATGACCGGAGACTGCGGACACAGTACAGGAGATGACCGGAGACTGCGGACACAGTACATGAGATGACCGGAGACTGCGGACACAGTACAGGAGATGACCGGAGACTGCGGACACAGTACATGAGATGACCGGAGACTGCGGACACAGTACAGGAGATGAGCGGAGACTGCAGATGTACTACAGGAGATGACCAGAGACTGCAGACCTTTGGGGAGCAGAAGGGGGGGGGGTATGAAGAACCGTCCCTTTGTGATAACATTTTGCCCTTTCCATTCCAGTTTTATCCCCTTGTTAAGTGGTCTTCCCGTTCTACCTTTTTTTTAAACTGTATATGTTTAGCAGCACTGTTATGTAGACAGGCATTCTGCAGTTTGCTTGGGTAATGGGGACTTGTAGCCTTTCACTTATCCAGATTTCATACTGTGCTGATTACTGTGTATTGTACTGCAGTGCTTCTCTCGCATGCACAGTGGGCACCCGGCTGTGAAGCTGCAAGCTGTCACAGCTGGGTGCCCACACTGAAGATGCTGGCACCAAGGAGAGAAGATGGTGAAGACACCGCTGGACTGAGGAACAGGTAGGACCGAGAAGCAGGTTCTGCTGCACAGAAGAGCTGAGCGGGTATCCGGTATTCTAACACGGCGGCGGCGGGAATACCGGGCTGGTCGTTCCATAAGATGCACAGACATTTTCGCCCATTTATTGCATCTTATGGAGCAAAAAATAAAGTAATTATATTTTACAGAGAAATATTTACTTTATTGGGAACTAGGTCATAGGCATTGAAAACTACCAATCCCATGATAAGGTCTTCCTGCAGAAAGCAGATAATCCTGAACAAGTGTATCAGGTTTTCTCCAACATAGATCCTTCCCGGAAACTAGCCATGATGATGCTTTTGCCAAGGTTCCTTTTAAAAACATGTTAGTTAAGCCTGAATACTGACAGCCACACAGTAACAGTCTCCTAGCTGCATGCAGAGCACTAGGCAAGCAATGTCTGTGTGCTGCTAAGCAAGACGGTGTTAGCAGTTACTCTGCACGCTCACCACTATTCCCAAAGCCTCACTGATTACTGTGTAGCAGTCTCAGGACTGCAGCGTGATTTCACATCAAATTA